GTTTTTGAGAAATCTTAGAGCAGTCGTTTTCAAAGTGTGGTCCAGGAATACTGGAGGTTTCTAGACACTGTTAGGGGTCTAGGAGATAAAAAATGTTTCATAATTACACTATGATGTTATTTTCCTTTTTCACTCTCATTCTCTCATGAGAATACAGTGGAGTTTCCCAGAGACTACGTGGTGTGCAGTATCATAAAAGATTGAATGTAGAAGCAGATGTGTGCATCCAGATGTCTTCTATTAAGCTGGGTATTAAAGACAGTTTCAAACATGTAAAAACAATGCTATTCATCTCACTATTTTGCTGTTGCTGGAACATATAGGTTTTTTTTTTAATCAAAAGTGTTATTTGTATTAAGATGTTTATTCTTATTAAATGAATAGTATTTTTTTTCAGTTTTAATATCTAATACTGTAAGAATTAATAGGTAAACATACTCTTTGCAGGTCATTGAAAAATTTTAAGTGTCCAAAGAGCAAAAAGTTTGAGAAATGTCCTAGCGGACAAATGATTCCTCTGGGGGCAAAGTTGACTATATTAAATTCTGGGAGGGCTAGTTAACAGTGCAAGTGTTAGCAGTAGTGCTGGTTGGAGTGCCCTTTTCATGGTTACCTATGAGGCATTTCAGTAGAAATTCTCATTTGATTACTAACAACAAACAAAGCAATCAAAGCTATTGTTATTGTTCCCATTTTGTAGATAGGAAAAGTGAGAAGTAGAGAAGTGATTTACCAAAGATCAGAGAGATAGTTAAGTACAGCTGGAATCCTTTGGTACTTAAGACTCCCAGTTCCATTGTTTCCATTTCATTTCACCCACCGAGTTGTCACCAGGATGAATCATCACTCCGCTTGCAATCCAGTAGCCACAGTGTAATAAATGGCAACCCTCACCTCCCGTTAGACCAGTTTCATATTCTCTGTGATAAAATAAACAATATCAATACTTTTGACATTCACTGGCCAGGTGGAAAAATTATCACAGAAAAATGGGAAAACATGTACCTGGGGAAAAAATACGACAAAACAAAGCCCTAATGTTTATAAATGTAGCATGGAAGACATGCTAGGAAGATGAAAAAGAAGAAATATCCAGGAAGGCTCGTAGGGTTTGTAAAGTGAGTACTTGCTGTTGATGTGAGTGCCCGTGAAAAAAAGGCAAAGGATGAAAGAGAGAGAGAGAGAGAGAGAAGGAACCTGGAACAATCGTGAGCCAATAAGTCAGGTGCGGGTAATTGGTAGTTGTTCCTGATTTCAACACCATGTGTTGGCTTGGATCTTTTAGAAATATAAAATATTTCTGCTCTGCACTTCATTACAGCTAACAGATGTTGCTTTATGTTTTTGGACCTACTTTGCAGAATGAGCATAGGATCATATAACATACTCCTAAAAACACAAAAGAGGAAACCAGTTAACTGGCCTCTTACCAGGACAGTTTTAAGAAGGTCCAGACTTTAGCCCTTGCCTGTCTGAAGTACAAAAGTAGAGTACATTCTAAGAAGAAAAGAAATGACACAGGATGCTTGTTGATATAAACTGAAAGAACGTTTACTTATATCTTTAGAGAAAATAAAAAATACATGGCCGGTTGACTAAAGAGGGTAGTTTATTACCGAATGGTTGCTGCTTCCCTACTCCTCATCCCCTAATATTTAAAAATGAAAATGTTTTCTTGCAGTATTTACCAGTGATACAAAAAAAAGAAAGTCCATCCTTTCCATGACTCAGTATTTTCAGGTTATCACAAACCTATTCAGCTTCTGAATCTTATTAAAGTCAAACTATTGAGTCAGTTTATCAGCACTAAGCTATTAGATTTTTGCTTTATGCCTGTTTTGAAAGCAGGGCTTGATGTAGAAGGTATATTTACGTAACAGTGGTGTTACTCAATGCCCTCACATTTTTCTGCCTATGCTATCTTAATGGAAATTTACTGGAAAATTCTTGCCAGAATAAACACATTCCTTCAGGACTGAAAGGCTTAATGTACTTCTAGTTCAACTGCATCTCTTTCCTGTGAGCAGATAAACCAAATTATTTGGCATTAGTCATTATATACTTCACACAGTTGACAGTACTTATTGTCGTCTCCCATGGGCGCTAAGGGTTGTAGGAGACAGGAATAAGGTAGACAGTCTTACACTACAGTGAGAGATAAAAACAAAAGCAAGGGTAGAGCGTCCATATATTTGACATGAAAAAAACAAACAAAATCTGGTGGATATTCTATAATTTGGCTTTATCTACCCTGGGAAGGCAGGATTAAGGAGTATGAACCACAGATAAGTTGAGCTGATGAACCAAGAAATTTTAAAAAAAATTATTTTTCATTTTTAAGAGAGAGATAACTTTCTCATTCACATTTGAATTTAAGAATCAGTAGTGAAAACTCTACTATGACAGTAGTGGCCTGAGTAGTGTCTGCTGGGGCCAGACAAGGAGACCAGCGTGGGATAAAGAGATGTAAACAGGATGATTAGGGCCAGGGAGGGAGGAAGTACCCTTCGGTTGAGGGATGGAGGAAGCAAACAATGGACAATAGAGACTGGAGGAAAGAGATGCACAAACATTCTAGACTTACTCCTGTTGGCCCAGTCGAATATCCACTCATCACCACCCCAAGGTTGCTACTGGCGAGAGATTACAGTGATTATTCATTCATGCAACCAGCATTAATAAAGTGTGTAGTCAAGGCAGAGAGAACCATCTTTAAAGGAATAAAACTGGCCTATTAGTATATTGTAGCTGAATATTCAGTTATGCTGCATTTATTTACAGCAATAGGCAATTGAGTTCTTTGACTTTTTCATTATTTTTAATTTTTTGCAGCTGGCCAGTACAAGGATCTGAACCTTTGACCTTGGTGTTACAATACCACATTCTAACCAACTGAGTTAACTGGTCAGCCATTCTTAGACTTTTTCTTTTTTTTTTTTTTTAAAGATGACTGGTAAGGGGATCTTAACCCTTGACTTGGTGTTGTCAGCACCACACTCACCCAGTGAGCAAACCGGCCATCCCTATATGGGATCCGAACCCGGGGCCTTGGTGTTATCAGCACCGCACTCTCCCGAGTGAGCCACAGGCCAGCCCATTCTTAGACTTTTTCTTTTTTTTTTTTTTAAAGATGGCTGGGAAGGGGATCTTAACCCTTGACTTGGTGTTGTCAGCACCACACTCACCCAGTGAGCAAACCGGCCATCCCTATATGGGATCCGAACCCGTGGCCTTGGTGTTATCAGCACCGCACTCTCCCGAGTGAGCCACAGGCCGGCCCATTCTTAGACTTTTTCTAACAGACCAGTTAGAATTAAATTGCTGGATAGATTTGCCCAGAGTTTAGTGACCCCTCTGCCTTATATAGTGTATTAGTTCATTTCTGTTGCTTATCACAAAATACTTGAAACTGGGTGATTTAGGAAGAAAACAATTTATTGCCTACAGTTTCTGAGGCTGCAAAGTCCATCTGGTGGTGGCAGTAGTGCCCCAGGGGTCTCACATTACAAGATGGTAGAAGCAGAGAGAGTAGAGTGAGAGACAGACTCTCCTTTTAAAGCCCTCAGAACCATGCCCCTGACCACCATTTTTAATCCATTCACTACATGGACCTGCAATCAACTCTTCAAGGCTCCACCTTTCAATTATGATAATAGCATTTTCCACCCTCTTAATAGTCACAGTGGGGGGCTAAGTTTCTAATACATAAAACTTGGGGGACACAATTCAAGTTCCAATGAGTTTTGGGGGGACATATTTCTATCTAGTACATATAGTATTAAAATCCTTCTTTTTTTTTTTTTTTTTGGCAGCTGGCCAGTATGGGGCCCAGCAATTTCTTTTTTTTCTTTTTCTTTTTTTGGTGGCTGGAAAATCCTACTATTTTAAATAATTATGAGAAACTCCAATTTAAATGTGAAAATGTCCCTATACTATTAAAGAATTTTATTTCATTGTATTTCTTTTTATTTTCAATATGTATGGTAAGTAAACCAATCTTGCAAAGTATTACTTCCAGGAAGTCCGTGGGAGATAAAAGAAGAATTTGAAATTAGAATATCAATATACTTACTCATTAATTGGTGTTCCTACTCAACTTGTATTTTCTTAAAAAACTTGTTGTGTGTAAAGGAAAGGCACCATAGCTGAAATTTCTTTTAAGTAATTAGGTACAGTTTCTCTCTGTAAATAATAAAACAAAAGTTTAATATTTCTATTATATATGGGTTTTCTATTATAGGCTCCTTTAATTCAACTCTAGAAGTAGGTGAGATGTGAATTATAAAGAGAATATAATTTACTTGAAGTTATAAAAATTATTTCATTTGTTCAATTTATCTAAGAGATAAATGTTTGAGATAATTTCAAGCTATTCAGAGTTGGCAATAAGTGAGATTTTACCACATTTTAAAATTATTAACACATATCAGTCATGCATATATTTATAAGTAAAGATTAAAAGTTGCTTTCTGCAGTAGTGTGTTACAGTGAACTTAATCATCTTTCTATTTATATTTCAGTTCTAAAAATAAACTGGAAATTTAAATAGTACTGCATTCATTTGTTACAGATATTTGCTGTATGAGTTGACTGCGTTTGATTTATAAATATAAATGATAAATACAAAATAGTTTATAAAATTTAATCCCAGTTTAATTAAATTAGCCTGTAATCAAAGTTCAACCTATTAACTTTCTAAAAACAAAGTTTTGAGTTTAAGTAAGTGTTAAAATAATTTAAGTGTAATATAAATGAAAATATAATTTTCTGTGTTGCCATTTGTTCTTTACCCTACTTTTCTTTAGAGCAAAAACTGTTCATTCTACTAGGATCTTATAATCAGTAGCACCAAAAGGTAAAGTTTCAAAAGATCTATCTCTTTGGTTTTATTGAGGAGAACTTAAGGAGTTTTCATATTCTCCAGCCTAGTGCTATGATACTTTAGAAATTGTATTGCTTCCTATGTACTAAATGAACCACGTTTTCTTTTGAATTTATAGCCGCAGATATGGCCAGTACAATATGAATCAGGAAAGCTCTACCAAGGTTATGGAGAAGCCTCCATTTGATCGGTCAAGTTCCCAGGACTCTTTGGATGAACTATCTATGGAAGACTATTGGACAGAACTAGAAAATATCAAGAAATCTAGTGAAAACAGACAAGATCAAGATGTGGTGGTTGTCAAAGAGCCTGATGGTAATAACTAAATGAAACTTTTGTTGTTTATGTATTTATAGGAACTGAATGCATGGAAAGGAAGAGGAGAACAAACAAACAGAAAATTAAAGATGGGACAATCAAAAAAAGATATTGCAAGTTGTCTTTCAACTTTATTCGCTTGTGGGAGATTTATGGATGCAGCTGCCGGCTACAAGGGGCAGGAGTAAATTCACTTAGTTGTAGATATGGCTCAGCTTACTGTGTCATAGACTCTTAGGGTCAGACTTGATCTTTGAAATCATCTAACCTCCCTTGGAATTCCTCCTGTAATATGCTAGCCACGTGTTCATCTGGTCTCTAATAAAGTATAGGTGGTGATGGAAAACTCACTACTTTGCACTGATACTGTTTCACTGTTTTTCCAGTGGTCAGTCATCTTGAGTTGTTTGGATCTTTAATTTACTGATTTAAAATCTGCTAACCTTGAACTTTGACTTACTTGCTGTAGTTCTGCGTTCAGGAAGAATAGAGCTATTCTGTTTTTACAGAACAAGTCTACTTTGTTTTACATGATAGCTTTTCAGATATTTGAGGATAATTATCTTGTTCCTAGCCAAGTCCTTTCTAGAAGGAAAATTCACTTATACCAGTCCTGGTGGGTGGTTTTCAGACCTATTGTGGTCCTGGTCATTTTATCATTCAAATTATAGTACTCCAGATTGGATGCAGTGCTGTGTGTTTAGCCAACTAATCTAAGGATGTAGGTTTGAACACCGGGGGATGGTATTAGAAATTTAACTTATGTATTTGCTTTTTGCTTGTATTTGGTCCATAATTTCTCTTGAGTCTCTTTCCAGCCATATTTCCCACACTCTCCATTACTGTACTTGATATTCTGTTAGGGTTTTTTTTGTTTTTTGTTTTTGTTTTTTATCTGACTGGCCTGTGTGTTTACTTGATATTCTGGAAGAAACACATAAATTTTACTTTTTTTTTCTTCTAAATTTTATGCTGTTTCTTTTAATTTCTTAAATTCAAGCAGTCACCAAATTTTTGATGCCCAGGCTGGCATCTATTATATTAACTTTCTTTCTATACCTCTGCCATCCATATATTTGTAAATATGTTTTGGTGTATAAGTTGGTATATAAATGCCAAAAAAGTGAGAGCTGCAGTCAGTGCTTGGTGATCCACTAATACAGACGTCCTTCTCAAAGGGATGTCTTCTTAACAAAATGATTTAGTATTGAGTTAGGTAGTGAAATCTATATTTATAGGATTTCTCCTTTGCTACAACATTGCTTTAAAAATCTACCAATAATAATGTAAAGAGAAAAATTGGGGATTTTTCTTAATTTAACATTTGTTAGATTTATAAAAGTATAATCAACTCATTCTTTGGCTTCTCATTCTTTTTTGTCTTATTCTTTCCCAAATACCAGTAGAGTCTATCTTATTTGTGATAGTCAAAAGTATCTCCCAACTTTCCTGTCTCACTGTTTCAAGATAGAAGTAGCATGTGAATGTTCTGCTGAATATGGAGAGAATATGCTAGAGAAACCAGCATTTAAGCCTGATACCTAGAGGTGTATCATTAGCTATTGGATAATTCTCCAAAGTTAAATTAGATTCATAGATTATTGTATACAATATGATCATCAAGAAGATTGGGAGTATTTCTACATGCCCATACCTTTTCTTAGACTTTAAATTGTTTTTTACCTCTACTTTTTAGTGCAACAGGTGACTCTGTAGTTATCTTATTTGTTTTCCTTTTTATGGCAATATCAGCTTTTTTTCTCCTGGCAATTTGGTTTTATACAACTAAACTGAGTTCTACCTTAACATCATTAATAATAATGGCTGACTTAGTTTTTATGTCAGTGAACGGTTTATATTCTCTGGCATGCAGAGTGCTCAGCACTAGATTATGTTTCTTGCAGCCAGAGTTATTAGTACTTGGTTTCTGCCCTCAAGGAGTTTATATGGTGTAGAAGGATAGACACACAGGTCAGAGCTATACTATCTGATACAGGCAATTTTAGAGCATTGCAAAGCTCTTCTCACGTAACATTCTCGTATTTGGTTGTGATGTAGCCAGGACATCTTTGCATTAGTTTACAGATGAGAAAATGGAATTGGCTTGAGGCTAAGTGACTTGTCCAAAGTGACATGGCTATCAAGGTGCAGAAATGGGTTATAGATCCAGGTTTTTTGTGACTGAAGTCCTTGCTCTTTCATTTCCCTCTGTAAACATTGTGCTTGGAGTAAATCTATTCTAGTTACACTTCTGATTTTCTATAATTTTCATTGGATCTTGCACAATATTTTCTTTACCATTTATTTTCTGCTGCATTCAGTGTTTTGAATTGATGCAATTATTTTTTTTCCTTCCTATTTTAAGTCCATTTTATTGAAGTGTAATTCACATGCAGAAAAACACACATTTTTGCTGTGCAGGTCAGTTATATTTCACAAGTGAATTTACTCATGTAACTACTAGTGCAATCAAGATGCAGAGTATTTCCAGCACCCCAGAAGTTCTCTTGTGCCCTGACAGTATATCCTCATACATTCTAAGCCCTAGGCAATCAATGATATTTTTTCTGCCACTATATATTAGTTTTGTGTGTTTTACAAATTCATGTAAATGGAATGAATTGATTCAATTATTTAATTAGTTTCCTATATAGCTTTTTTTTTTTTTCTGACATTAGTGTGCTTTTAAAAATTGTCAAAATAACACAATCTGAGGTGCTGATTTGGGGGAATTAGAAAAATTAATTTGAGATTGTTTAGTTTCCAATGTCCAGATGCTCCTTACCTCTTTGCCACACTCCCTGTCGGCGACAGTGTACACAGAAAGCAAGTCTTTTCATCAGTGTGGACAATGAGGTAGTGAGAAATTTAAGCCAAGAAACTGGGCTTTAAAGTATATCCTGAAGATTGACTTCCTTCTGTAACTTGAGGGAAGTAAGTTATCTTTTCATTCCTTGTTCATCTCTGGAAAGGGAATGGTGTTATCCTCTTGCGTTAATCTGTAGGGAAGTTATAGAGGTTAATTACATGTGAAATCATTTACAGATTTTAATTGAGTATATATGAAATGGATCTAAAATTTGATGTCATTGTGGCTGGAGTGTATGGCAGTTGTCCAAGTTTCAGATAATGTTTCTTAGCACTGTGGTTTGGTTACAATTGAAGTTTCAGTAAGAGTTTTTAAGAGCTTAAAAATGTAACAGTTCTTACAGCTTTTGATTTAAATACCCTTTTTCTCCACTGTCTTAGAGGGAGAATTGGAAGAAGAATGGCTTAAAGAGGCTGGTTTGTCCAATCTCTTTGGAGAGTCTGCTGGAGATCCCCAAGAGAGCATGGTGTTTTTATCAACATTGACCCGGACCCAGGCAGCAGCTGTTCAGAAACGGGTAGAGACCGTCTCCCAGACCTTGAGGAAAAAAAACAAACAATACCAGATTCCTGACGTCAGAGACATATTTGCTCAACAGAGCGAGTCAAAAGAAAAAGTAAGTTTTCTTTTTTGATGTTTAAGGCAAAGGAATAATTGCTTAGAGTCAGCTGGACTGATTCTGTTTAATTCAAATCATTAAAAACTTATCGAGCACCTATTGTGTGCCAGGCACCAAAGCTGCATGCTGGCGGTGAACAAGAACAAGGGGGCTTGATCCCTGCCCTTTTAGAAGTTATACTGATGGGGCAGAACATTCAGCAAGTTAAAATTCAATATGATAATCTTTGCATTAGAAGAAGTGGGTGGATGTCCTTGGAGCATTAGAAGTGACTCTAACCCCACCAGGGGTGACAGGAACGGCTTCCCAGACAGTGCGACTGCCCAGTTGTTACTTATAGAAAAGTAGCAGGTAGGGAATTCTTCCTTATCTCTTAATACTTGTAGGAATATTTGATTTTCCCTAGATTCATTTGGGAATGGATGGAAGTGGAGTTGGAGGGAGTAATGGCAGCTTAATTACAAAGTGGGAACCTTGAGACATGAAATAACTTTCCCTTTATGTCTAGCGCTTAGCGTGGTGACTAGCACACAGAAGATTGAGCAAATATTTGTCCGGATGATTAATGTGTTAGTGGAAGCTAGTGGAGTCTGGTAGAGACTGTGGGGCTGAGGAAGGAAGAGATACCCGGGAAGGGACATGGTAAGAGTATAAGACCCGTGTGGCTTGATACAGCGCTACTCCAAACAGCCAGTTAGTGGATTACTTATCACTCATCCATGAGGACAGAAGGAGCTTGCACAGAATTTTCATTCTTTCTTTCATCAAGATAGTCTTGCTTCCAAAAAAAAGTCAGCTGAACGAAGTGGTGTTCTAGGGGTCAAGGCTGATTTACATGCTGGCCTGGAAGACCCAGTACACAGCAGCTGGAATGATGTGAATAAATAAAGGGACTCTTGAACAGTGGTCGTAATGATAGTAATAATGATAACAGTTGCTGCCACCATTACCGAATACTTACTGTGCTAACTGATTTCGTGCCTTATCTCATTTCATCCGTACAGCTGTCCTGTGAGTGAGGCATTATCATTTATTTCCATTCTACGGCTGAGGCTCATAGACTTTAAGTAACTTGCTCAATGTCCTATAGATAATAAACCCAAATTCGTCTGACTCTGAAGTACATTCTTTTAACCACTTCTCTGTCCTGCTGTATTTGTGTTTCCATACGTGATTCTGATATTAAGCATTTTGAATATGAGAGTCTATTTAAAATATAAGTAAAAGGTAACAAAAAAGAATGGGATGAAAAGGCTTACATTTATCTGTCATGTAGAGGTTTTTTGCTTTTTGTAGAATTTCATTCTAAGAAATGTTTTCTAGCTATGGATTGCTACTCTATTTGCATGGCCAATTGTGGATCATATCTAGTCCATTTTACTGGAGTTTTGGGGTCAACAGATTGCTGCAGGCACTTGCTTACCACCCAGTGATTATTTGGGACATCTACTACTGTTGAAAGACCGAACTAGGTTTCCAACTGTAGAAAAATTAATGGTAAGGAAATATAGTATTAAGACATTTTCTTCCCAATTAAAGAGCTGTCCCTAAGGGAGTTAAGAGGAAGTGAAAGGGGGAGGGGACAGAGAGCTGAGCCTAAGCAAAATACATACTGTGGGATTCCTGCCAGTCTCCAAGAGAATGTTTCTACTTGACTCTAAAAGCAGCATTTTTCAGCAAATTCCTGGCAATTTCTAAACCACATGGCTTGAGTCTGAGGTCACTGGTGGATTGTATCATCCAATGAAATCATTCAGAGAAATAAGTGAAAATAATATTAACTTGCCTACGTTGCATGCCTTTAATTGAAACACTGCCACCCATTAGAAATTTGCTTTGCATCCCCATCCCTGAAGCAAACGTGGGCCAGCCATTTCACTTGCAGTCCTTCTGTTTTCAAGTAAGTGCATATTCAGCTCTTGTACCTGAACTGCTTTGTCATGAAGCCCTCGCTGATGCTAGGAAACATAATACAGAAATGAGTACCATCTGCACTGCCATCTTCAATTGCTAAGGAAAACAGTCCCAACCACATGCTCCAAAATATGTGTTCGTAAGTGAGATTAGGATCCCTCACTGTGCTCATTGTGCCATGGAAGGCCAGCCCTCTGCAGCTTGTGAGCAGAGGGAAGGGGAACGGTATGGCCCTGTCCTGCAGGGGATCAAAGCAGTGCTGTGTGCACCCACGCACCACTTCTGCGGTTTGGTAGTCACTGTACGCTGTCCTGGGTATTGCTGGTCTCTGAGGAGTACACTAATGGCCTGTCTGTGTCTGCCTTAGTGCTTTTCTAGGTTCTTAGACTGCAGGTGGATGGGGAGTACTTTGTGGCTAACAGTTCGAGGTGAAACGTGCGATGAGGGGATAACAAAGGCCACTTGCTGTCTGCAGAGATGAGAAACAATAGACTGATTATTTTAAAAATAATTCCTTCAAATAGGCCTCTCTGTATGATTGACTCCCCTTTCTGATCCCTGAATTCCTTCTAGAGCCTTACCTGGAAGGGATGAAGTATTGTCTGGCCACAATTACTGTATCAGAACCAGCCATGGTTTACCACGTCTGTTAACTCTTGGAGGGCTCCGTTCTTCAGTTGTCACTGCCCCAACTCCTTGAGAAAAGGAGTTCCTTTGTACATTTTAGCTTTTATTGCTGGTTTGGTAATTTAGTTTTAATGCATCTCACATTTATTACTTTTTTTTAAAATTTGAAACAGTTCTATTTTATTATCAACATGTCAACTTGCAATTTTGTTTTATAACAGCATTATTGAGATACAATTCACATACCATACAATTTACCCATTTAAAGTGTACAATTCAATGGTTTTTAGTGCATTCACTAACTTGCAGCCATCACCACAATCAACTTTAGCACATTTTTGTCATCTGCAAAAGATAGCCCTTGTCCATTAGCAGTCATTTCCTATTTTCCCCTCCCTACTCTTAGGCAACCACTAATCTACTTTCTGTCTTTATGATTTGCCTATTCTGCACATATTATGTAAATGGAATCATACAATATGTGGCCCTTTGTGACTGTTTCCTGTTACTTAGCATAATGTTTTCAAGGTTTGTCCTTGTTGTAGCATGTATAAGTACTTCATTTCTTTTTATAGCCTAATAATATTCCATTGTATAGATAGACCACATTTTGCTAACTCATTCATCAGTTGATGGTTATTACTAATTTTTTAACATGCTGTGTTTTCCCTTTAAATAGTGACATTCTTAATGGCAAGGACACTTGACTCTTGTCATATTTCCCACTGGGATTAGTATTGTGTCTTACAAGTTGTGGGTAATCAAATATTTATTGGATAGTTGCTTGTTGATTATAACCATAGTGCTTTTTTTTCCACTGTGATTGTTATAATACTGAGTACATTTCTTGTACTCTAAAGGTGGTTAGTAACAGAATTATTTACAATACCATTTTCTCTGGTTGTGAGCTGGAGATGACTAAATGGCCCATTTTCTGTGTTTAGGTTCCAGATGGCACTGAATCGCAGTCAGACAGAACAAATGAAAACAAATACCAAGGAAAAGATGGTATGTTGGACCTGTTCTCTTCTCTTTTTTTTTCCTTTAATTAATATAACAAATAGTTACAACCTTTTAAAACATTCACCTACAATTCTAGTAAACAAATTATGTGAAAATACTAACGGAAGGTCCTAAGTGGATAATTATAGGAAGCTGAGTATATAGTTGGCTTTCAATTTTTTTTTTTGCATATCTCTATGTGATCTGATATATGCATATCTTGCTGAGTGCTTATCATGTGCAAGACCCTATGTGGAGATATTTCTCTCGTTTAATACACTCAAGAACTCGATGTAGAAGGTACTGTTCTTCACCCATTTTAGAGATGAGAGAACTGAGGTTTAAAGATGTGAAGTCACTTTCCCAAGGCCATGCAGCTAATAATTTGAGCCAGGGAATTTGGAGCCTTGTTCTTAACTCACAAGCTCCTAGTTCATAAATGGATTAGTTTTCAGAAATTTTAGAAAAACTTAAAAAAATGGTTAAGATATTTTGGGGCAATTGGTTATAATTCTCCATTTCACACTCTTTCTCTTCTAATTTAAGGCATGGATGAAAATAAATATTAGGGCTTTATTAGTGCTTACCAAGAAAGAATATATAGTTATTTCATTTGTTTACAAAAAGGAAAAACATTTTAAATTAAGATCATAGATTTTAGCTTAAAAATTTAGTCCTTAATTGTTATTTAACAAAGAATAGCAAAAATGATCTATATTTACTTTCTTGAAACTTAGCAACTGGGGTGTTGGTGCCATTAATAGTGTTGCATTTGGTTTGGAAGTAGTGGGAGAGGGACTCAAGTAAATTGGGGAGGACTGCAAAGTGTTCCCTACCTTCCTATAAAAATCATGCATTAGACTAAGATTATATGGACACTTTGGAGTCTTGGATCCACTATCTCCATTTTTCCTTCCATACCTTTCTCAGAACTTCTCTCCTCCACCCCCACCTTAAAAAAAAATGCACATGCATACACATATGTATGTATATGTAGGTGTGTGTGTGTGTGTATACACACATTTTTATTTATATCTATAAAAGCACCTCTTTTTACTATCTGTGGAGATTTCTTTAGTTACATGTTTTATATCAGAGTGGAATTACTGGCTGTTTCCTCAAGTCTGTGTATCAGCAAACACTGAAGTAGCAAGCAAGCTGGTGTAGTGGGCCTTTGGCCTGCTGGAGAGCTGGGTCATCAGGAGAGACAGATGAACCTTTTGTGCCAATGTCAGTATGCTCTGGGGTTTGGCGAAGAGTGACTGGCAGTTGTTTCGTGGATACTGAGGAAAACATTGTCCTTTCTTGGTGTTCTCCTCCCTTTCCAGAGATCGTGCTGTAGGCTATATCAAGAAAGGTTCTGGAAGACAAGTTCATTATATGGGCACTGTCTGGCCTAGCTTACAGCAGGCGAGTGAAATGTGACATGCTTGCTACCTGATTTACATCTGCTTTTGCTGGAATGCTATGAAGTGGGCATAGAGCCTCCAGTCAGGATAGCCAGAGAATGCATCTAATGCCAGCCAAGTCACTGAGGACTTGCTGTCACACCTGTTCTGGGCAATGCCGTGCTCTTTCACTAGCCAATGAATTAACCAGTGCTTTGCAAACATTGGAAGCTTCAGAATGAAATGCATGGAAACATCATCTGGGGTTCAAAAGTGAGGCTGTTTCTGATTAAAATTTGAAAGCATGGGTGATATAGTCTCTTTTAAGTGTTCTCCACACTTAGGTTTTTAAACATGTTCAATCAAGGATACTGCTGCTGCTTTTTTTTTTTTTTTTTTTTTTTTTTTTGTGGCTGGCTGGGGAGGATCCAAACCTTTGACCTTGGTGTAACAACCCTGCGATCTAACCAACCGAGCTAACTGGCCAGCCCAATCAATGATACTTATTCTAAATGAAATGTCGTAAAATTTTAATGTTGCAAGGGTTGTCACTTTTCAAATTAATCTGTTGTTAAGAATCATTCTTAATTTCTCATCAAATAATATAACTCTTTATGAAAGGCTGTGTTTAATACATACATTTAGAAATACTAATAATACCCAAATAATTTTCTAAACTTTCATATTAATATGTCTACTTTCATGTTTTCTTTGAATTTCCATGAAGGGAGGATTCTCCACCCCCCCAATAAAGGCATTTTAGGACACTTTGGACAGTCGAAAAACTTTAGGGGAGATTTGTAAGATATTTGTAAACAGGTACTATTATGCCAAAGGAAAATTGGTTAAAGTAGTTATTTATATTTTAGGACCTTAAGAGCCAAAAGATTTATCTCAGCATTTTCTGTTAACTTTTCTGTTTGAGCATAGATAATTGATTCATCACTTTTATTAGCCAATTAATCATGTATTTTTTATAGCAGTGCCCCCCTATAACCCCTGAAATTGCTTTTCCTACTATCTGCCTTCATTTGACTTACTATTTAAATTGAGGCTTTTATATACCATATTTTTTATTTTTGCCATGATTTAGGAGGAAATTCATGTTTTAAATGTGTTCTAACTTAATTATAATTACTCAGTTTTAAATTCAGTATAATCCATTTCTTTGGGTATGGGAGGGGTGGATATTTATTGTAACTTTGACATAGAGATATTGAGAAGAGAGAATACTTTTAAAATTCTTGTCCACAAGTGCTCAGCTGCTGGAAAGGTAACATCTAAATTAAGAACATGGCTAATCATTTTTTTCCTCTTAGAATGGTTTCCTAGGAAACCAACATACATATTCACAATAAGATATAAACAGTATAAATAAGTGGGAAGATAAAAATAAAATTGTGCTTTGACATTTATGCTGATACTTTAATAATTACTTGTATAAAGGTATAGGTATTTTAATTTTTTAAAAAATGGTCAAAAACTGTTGAAAAAATATAAATGTAACATAGATGGCAGCAGATAAATACTAATAATATCAAGGAACTTTAAATTTATTCTCATTTGGGGAATTGACATAGGTAAATGCTTGCTTGCTTCTGTAACTGAGAATCTACCAGGACCAGCTATGTAATTTGCAGGGTCCATGGCAAACTGAACATGTAGGGCTACTTGTTCACATTTCAAAATGATGACAGCAGATCATCAAACCAAGTATGGAAGCCTTCTGAGCTCAAAGCCCTGTGTGGCTGCATAGGGCCCATGGCCCGGATGCCCACCCTGCTTACTGAATGGGAGCGAAGACAACAAGGCTTATATTTAGTTCTTAGTTTTCTTTTGATTAAGACAGCTTTTTTTTCCTTTTAATTTAAAAGACTATAAACATGGTATTTTTCTGAATTAAAAAAAAAATAGTTTTTTTGATTGCTGGCCAGTTTGGGGATCCAAACCCCTGACCTTGGTGTTAAAACACCACACTCTAACTAGGGAGGTCACCGCCCAGCCCTAGATTTTTAAATTAACTTTACTTTCCATCACTTCCATCAGTTTGTTGTGTTTGTATGTGAGTATGTTAATATGTACTATGTAAGCTTATTTTGTAATTCATAGCTTCTTACTATGAAAGAAAGGTCTGCAGTGAGAAGATATTAGTAATCTTGGTTATTGGTTCCAGGGTTTTTCTAATGTGAGTTGTATTTAAAGTCAAAATTTACCAAACAATCAAATTTAGAAGTATTTTCTCCAAAGCTTAAAGCTGGTGCTTTCAGCAAAGAGGTTTTTGAGTGTTAATTTCTTCCTGAAGGATTAACAACAAACAAACCAAAAAAGCCAAAAACATGGTTAAACTTCCAATACCCTTGAAATATTGATGTAAATATCTGAAAATTATTTGACTAGTGTTCATAGTTGTAGAAACTTTTATACTCTTTGGTATAAACAGGTGCAAAACTTAATGGTTCCTGTACCAGGCACCTCCAGACCTGACTCCCATAGTGATAATTTTTTGGCATTAACTCTTGTTTTGGAATTTTTACTGTGATAGGTAAGTAACATTTCAAGAAGGAAATGCAGGGTGTGGAAGAGGTTTATTCCAGGAATCTGATCCACTATGAGGAAATTAAATGGTTCTACAAGAGATTACAACTAATCACCTGCCTCCCTTTTTTTGATTTTAATTCCTTAGAGTAGTATAAAACAACAGTTAAATGTGCTAAAATTTTGTTAGGTTTTTCATTAAGAGTTTGATATCTTCCAGCAATGCTTTGGAATTGGAGAATTGTATTCTCAAGGAAAGATTCCACAATTGAACTGTGGATTTCTAATCACTGCCTTCTCCTGAACCTGTTTCCATACACCATTGATAAGATTCCAAGAATATACCTTTTCCTATTAAAATACAGTTAATTATTGCCTAGAGAAAACAGTAGTACTCTTTCCAAAGGTTTTTAATGTAGTTAATGCATTAGAAGTTAAAAAAAAAAAAAAAAAAGGACATAAACAAAGCATAAGAATCGGGTCTTTTATCCCCCCAGACCAGGCATCTAGCCCTGTCGGTGAAAAGGAACTGATCCTACCTATGCCTGAGGAAGCACCTGCCTCTGAAACAGACATCAACCTGGAGGTATCATTTGCTGAGCAAGCAGTCAACCAGAAAGAGAGCTGCAAGGATAGGACCCAGAAGGGCAAAGGCGACAATGCCTCATCAACTGTATGTAGTACACTGTTCAGATGTTACTAATATAATAATATTTTTTATCAGCTTTTTATTTAAAAAATTTAGAATCCACAGAAAAGTTGAAAGAATATATAGGAAGCACCATACAGCCTTCCTCGATTGATTCAACAGTTACTAACATTTTATAACCTTTCTTTTTCTCTTTCTACATCTCTCTGTATGTATGTTTTGCTATCTGATATACACTCATATTTTTTTGAACTTATCAAGGGCATACAAAATAAAACACAGTTAAAATACTTAAGAAATTGAAAAATAAAGGGATAATTAGAGTTAATAGACAGTCATATTAAAATTTCCCCAATTGCTGCAATACTGTTCTTTATGACTTCTCCCTTCTCCACGCCCATTTGGGATTCAAACAATGTCACATTTGTTGTCATATCTTTTTTCATTTCCTTGACTCTAGATCAGTCCCCTGCTTTTCCTTTCTTTAGTATTTCTGAAGAGCCTGAATACATTTTCTGATTTTGTCTAATTCTTTCCTTATGACTGGATTCATTTTTGTCCAAACTACTGCATAGATAATGTTTATGCCTATGATTGTATAATCAGGAGAAGTGTATGGTGTCAGATTATCCCTTTATTGGGTGATGGAAGTTTGATTACCAATTTGGCTAAGGAGATGGCCACTAGATCTCCCCCTTGTAAAGATACCTTTCCTATGTGCAGTTAATACTAATTTGTGATCCTTGAGACTGGGTGAATATCCTATTTGTCAGTAATAACCTACTGCCCAGTGATATCACCATCCATTTATAACCTTGCCTGAAGCAGTAATTAAAATGGTGTTTGAGAAATGGTTATTTTTTAATTCTGTTATTCCTACTACATTTATTGGCTGGCAGTATTCCATAATAATTGCTTCTTTGCTTTCTAGCACACCATGTTCCAGGCTCACCTTGTGATTTTTCTCCCTGCAGACTTGAAAGCATCCGTGTCTTCAAAAAGCTTTGGTTCCTTTCAACAGCAAATTGCATTTAAAAATCAAGCTCTGTGTACTGAGTGTTCTCATTGCTACTGAATGTGTTATATTTTTTAAAAGTACATTTATTTATGTATTATGCAAAATTCCACATATATGAGTTAAAAAGAATAGTATAATGAACTCCCAAGTACTTGTGACTCGCCCCCAACAATTCATTAACCCATGACCAATACTGACCTTTCCAAACCCCCATCCAGTTCCCTATTCTGTATTATTTTGACTTATCTCTGAATTATATTTTGTCATTTATAAATATTTGTATTTCTAAAAGATAAAGAGGGAATTTTTAAAAACATGTAATCCATATTGTCATTGTTATACCTAAAAAAGCTGGCAATTTTTAATTTCATGTATCTAGTCAGTGTTCAAATTTCATATTGCAGATTTCATGATCTTCTACAATTTGTTCAAGTCAGGATCCCAATAAGGTCCATGTATTGCACTTGGTTGATATGTCTTTTGAGACTCTTTCAATCTCCCCCTCCATTTCTCTCTCTCTCTTTCTCTTTCTCTCTCCCCTCTTCTTCCTCCCTCCATCTCACTAGTTTCCCTTCCTTCTTCTCTTTTCTCTCTCTTCTTTCATACCTGTCCCTCCCTCCCTCCTCTCAATTTATTTGTTGGAGAAACCTGGTTATTAAATTGTAGAGAATTTCCCCCTCTGACTAGTTCCGTCCCCATGCTGTAGTTTAACGTGTTCTTATGTTTCTTACACGTTGGTTGACTTTAGATTGAACAGATTCAGGTTCAGTGTTTTTTCTTTTTCAAGGCTCCTTCAGATATGTAATCATGTGTTCTCTATCTGGAGACTCTTTTGTGAAATTAGTTTTTGCTACTGCTGCTAAATACCTGGATCCATTCGTTTACCAAATGGTTGCAAAATGATGATGTTCTGGGCCGGCCCGGTGGCGCACTGCGCTAGTGCGCCGCTTGGGAAGTGCGGCGGCGCTCCCGCCGAGGGTTCGGATCCCACATACAGACCGGTTCCCGCTCACTGGCTGAGCGAGGCGCGGGGGCAACGCCGAGGGTTGCGATCCCGTTGCCGGTCCCGGTCCGGTGCAGGGGCGACACTGAGGGTTGCGATCCGTTGCCGGACACGGAAAAAAGACAAAAAAAAAAAAAATAAAATTAAAAAAAAAAAAAAATAAATAAATAAAATAAATAAAAATGATGATGTTCTAATATGTTCTTTTTCATTTACTAATTTGGATATTTCTTTTAAAAAAATCTTCCTCAAAAGGTACTTTTTCCTTTTATATACCAGTTTTCAAAATTTTGTGGGTCCCTAATGTGTTATTCCATTTCTTTTGCTTATAACAAAATACCTGGAACTGAGTAATTGATAAAGAAAACAAAGTTTATTGCTTGCAGTTTCAGAGGCTGGGAAGTCCAAAGTCTAGGGAACACATCTGGTGAGGGTCTTGGTGGTGGTGACAGTGCCCCAGGGGTCTCACGTGGCAGAAAAGGGCAGAGCAGAGAGAAAGAACTTCTCATGTGCTCTTCTTTTAAAGCCTTTAGAACCACGCTCCTGACCACCATTATTAATCTGTTCACTATGGCATGGTCCTACAACCACCTCTTCAAGGCTCCAGCTTTCAATTACCATAATAGGATTTCCTACCCTCTTTGCACTGTCTTTTGGGGGGGGGGACATCAACCCATAGCACCTAGCATCTTTTACCAGTCACCACTTAATGTTTTTCTTTGTTTCTTTTGTAAAAAATAGCATATCAATTCATGAATTTAAACATTGCATGTAACCCTACACAAAATTTCATAGGCTTATCTGTTATATTTTCTGTTCTAGACCTAGAATTGTCTGTTTGTGCAAGAAACCCTGGTTCCATTTAGTAGAAATACACTTTTGTGACTATGATCAGGACACTAGGAGTGTTCATTTCTCTTGATTGGTTATTGCCTTCAAGCCTTTTCAAAGGACAGGTACATCTGTATCTTCCTTCTATGCTGAGAATTGTGGTTCTCATAAATGGCAGATGATGTGTTTAGAATATCATGTAATTTACTTGTTTGCTTTATCCTGCATTAATGCATAGCATTCTTAGAATAACAATGCTAACACTATTGTCAACAATATGATCACTAAAAAAAGGTTTAAACTTTTTTTTCTTCTTTTTTTGTGTTTTGGGGAAATATCCCAACAGGTATTTTATACACTAAAATGATTGTGCTTTGTATTGGTTAGAATGGTTATTTTCAATATGGTTAAGTCACCAATTGCATACCCGCTTGGGCTAATTTGCTTAATTTTATTTTCAATTTTTAGAGATTGCTTTTTCAAAATTTTGTTGTACAAGTGTATAAAATATTTATATGGTCCAAAAGTCAAATCTAATGAAGTGTATTAAAAGTCTAACGTCTATCCTTCAGCTACCACTCTCTTCAATCCCTCCTCTTAGAGGGAAACTTCTTATTTTAATGTGATGGTTTATCCTTCTGTTCTTAGATAAAAGGTAGCCCGCTATACACTTTCCTCCAACTTGATTTTTTTTTTTTTTTGACTTAGTATGTTCTGGAGATCATATCATAGTGGTATAGAGAAATATTTCTCATTCCATTTTATGGATACACTGTACTCTCTCATAAGAATGTGTCATGATTTAATCAACCAGTCCAGTAATGATGGACATCTGGGTTGTTTTCAAGCTTTCACATATATTTTTAAGAATCTGTGTTTCTACCCAGTGAGAAAAGTAAAGGAGCATGCAAAATTTGGACTAAAGTGATGATCCACTTTCCCAGACTATCCTTAGGAAAAGCATGTTTTCCAAGTGACAGTCTTCATCTCAAAAGATGGAAAGCTTTTAAATTGAAAGATAGTACAATCTAATTAAACAAAATTAAGATGTTGTTGACTTTTAAGCTGTTGACTCAAACAATGGAATAAAATATAATCTACAGTTGAGAGGTTTCAAAACAAAACAAAACTTCCTCTGCCATTTTATTCTGTTTAACAAACTAACCTATGCTCACCTACCTTCTTGATTTTGTCCACGTCGTGTCCCAAGTTTGAAAAATGACCTCTCCATTTTCATCCATCTGTTGTTCCGTATTTGTCAAGGAAACCTTGATCTATCCTTCAGAGGCTAGCTCAATCAATATATACCTTTCCTGTTGTCTTTCCTGATTGAGAGCTTAAACATTAGATAAAATATATGAACTCACCCCTGTTGTTATCAGTCTATTCATGTGTTTGTTCATGCATGTATATAACTATTCATCTATACAATCATTATTATTTTTATCCATCTGTCTTCTAGAAGGCATGGACATATTGTAAAGTTTCTACAATTCCTTAACATGGTTGATGAAGTGAATATTGATATTCACCACTCTGAGGCAGGTATCTAAGCAGATAAAAACTTTAGGTTCCATTTCTACTCCATGCTCCTCTGCTTCTGTAAATAAGTGCTAGGCTTTATGTATGACATTGTTCTCTGTTGACCTCATTTTATATTCACTTCCTTTTTCTTACAACATTGAGCAGTTTTTGTTTATTCTTTATGATCTCTCACAGTGGATTCAAATTTCTTCTCTTAAATTTGGAGCTCAAGTTTTATAACCTTTAATGTGCTTTAGTTTGAAAATTTAGCAGCTACTTATTGTGTATACTGTATATCGCAGAAATTATCCTCTGTAACTATTTCATTTATTTATTAAATGATCTCTATGAGCTAGCTATTATTTCCTATTTTTCATATAAGGAAACAAGTTACATAGATAACGTGGCACTCTGAAGCTTGACTTCAGTGACTGAGCCTTTGAAGCTTTTCTCTTGCTTTCTGTGTTGAAGCTGGAGCAATTTGATTAGTAAAAAAGTCAAGTTCATCATTACTGATGAAGTGCCTAGGGGCCCTGTCATACTGCAAGTCCTACAGAAGAGGAGCATAGTCAGGGAGAGCTATCTAGTTAATTTATAGTAACACATGGGAACCGGTGACCTTATATTTTTTGAAAATTTTTATTTCATCCTTTAAACACATTCCTAAAAGCTAAAGAGCTTTTCTCTTGCTGAAATTCCACTGCGTTCTTTTAGCCAATGAACTGAACCATCTAGTCTATTAACTAAACAAAAACGACAGGAAACGTCATAAATATTTAAAGCTGCTGCTATGAATTAAACATTAAGATAAAGAACTACTTCATTAAGCACAGTATTTAAATAAATAAATAAATAAAGAAGCTCGTGATATATATTGCTAGGTAAATCAAATGTTTGAATTAATAATATTTCAGGTTTCTCTAAACATTTACCCTGTGTAATGCTTTAAATAATTGTATTACATATGTTTGGCTTATTAGAACAAAAGCAACTGATTTTAATGAAATAGGGCTTTTTTTTTTTAAGTGGTTGGTAAATGTGGTTGGTTCAGAAAATAAAACAATTAGCAGAAATATAGGGCCAAGCATGAGAAAATGGCAAGTTTTTTTTTTTTTTCCTTTTTGTCTTTTTTCGTGTCCGGCAACGGATCGCAACCCTCAATGTCGCTCCCGTACCGGACCGGGACCGGCAACGGGATCGCAACCCTCAGTGCTGCGCCCGCACCTCGTTCAGCCAGTGAGCGGGAACCGGTCTGTATGTGGGATCCGAACCCTTGGCGGGAGCGCCACCGCGCTCCCAAGCGGCGCACTGTAGCAGTGCGCCACCGGGCCGGCCCAGAGAATGCAAGTTTTATGTGATTTTAAAAGTAAAGCTCAGTACAAATCACTGGGAATCAGAATATCAGGCCAGTGGCCCTTGACTTTACTAGGCTTGATTCTGTTTTTCTCCCTGTTCTTCATTCATTCAGTGCACTGTGATAGAGCACCTGTAGTGTGCCAGGCTTATGGTACACGATTACAGAGGTGAAGACGTAGCCCCTCTCCTTGAGGGGCTCACAGTCCCACATCAATACCTGTCAGTCTAGATTTCTTCCTACCTGCTCTGGTGGGTGTGGGGCAGGGGAATGGAGTAGAACAAAATGGCTACTGAACTTAGTGTTTAGAAGATCTCAGTTTACATCCTTATTATGTCACCGCTATGTGGCCATGTTTAAGTATCTTTACTGAGCCCCAGTTTTCCCATCTAGAATATGCCATAATAATTGTTACCTTATTAGGATTTTTTTCAGAATATAATGAGAAACCATTGATCAAATATGGTTATTATCCTTATTTTTTTCCTTACTTTGCTATAATATTTAGGGGGAAAAGGGAAACCATGAAATGTTGAAATGATTTTAAAAGCTCTGTAAAAAATATAGTAATAATCCTTTATACTTTTTGTGCACTAGTTATATGCTATTTGATCCTCACCACAACCTGATAAGGTAGATTCTGTTGTTATTCCCATTTTACAAATGAAGAGGCTGAGGCACAGAAAGGGATATTATTTGTGAAAGGTCTCATAGCTAGTAATGATGGAGACAGGACTTTCCACCTACTGTCTGGCTTCACATTCCCCACGCCTGTGCGCTGTAGCAGGGAGGTCATTCGCATCAATGCTGGAAGTGCACTAGGCTCCATCTTTAATGATATCTATAGCTGTTTTATTTAATATTCTCACAGGAAAAAATTGTATTACACAATGTGAAGAAAGACACTTTTTCTCTTATAGTGGACTTAGAAGGCTATCTCTTGGAGCTGAATTTGCTTGAAAAGAATTAGCTGCTCAGTTGTTGAAAGTTGTAGGTTTTAGGAATTGCACTAGGAGAGCAACTCAAACATTTTGGTCTCACCACTCCTCTATGCTCTTAAAAATTATTGAGGATCTCAAAAAGCTTTTGCTTATGTGGGCTATATCTAAAGTTACTTGCCATATCAGAAATTAAAATTGAGAAATTGAAAAAATATTAATCCATTTAAAGTATCAGTATTATAGTTAAGTATCTTTTATACAAAATAGAAAATGGGGGCTGGCCCGGTGGCGCACTGCTATAGTGCGCCGATTGGGAAGCGCGGTGGCGCTCCCGCCGAGGGTTCAGATCCCACATATAGACCGGCCACTCACTGGCTGAGCGAGGGGCGGGAGCAACACCGAGGGTTGCGATCCCGTGGCCGGTCCCGGCCCGGTCCCGGCCCGGTACGGGCGCGACACTGAGGGTTGCGATCCGTTGCCGGTCACGAAAAAAGACAAAAAAAGAAAAAAAAAAAAAAAAAAGAAAATGGGGCTGGCTGGTTTGCTCACTTGGTTAGAGCCTGGTGTTATAACACCAAGGTCAAGGGTTTGGTTCCCTGTACCCACTAGCTGTCAAAATTAGAGAGAGAGAAAAAAAAAGGAAAATACCTATATTTTCTAAAACAAAAAATTAAGAAATGTGGCATGGTTTTAATTTTAGCAAGTCCCTAATGTTTGTCTTTAATAGAAGTCAGCTGGCTTCTCACATCTACTTTTGCATTCAGTCTGTTGCAAGAAATAGCACATGTCATTTTCATCCAGAAAACTCCATTGTCCACTCATAAGAGAATGGGAGTGGAAAGGGCAAAATAATGTTTTCGTATTAATTATTTGAAAAGTTGTGACTTGGACTTCTTGAGAGTGTATTGGGTAGCCCCAAGGGTCCCCTGTCTACACTTTGAGAACTGCTGCTTTAGGGCATGTGTCTCTTGCACTGGTGTTCAGACCATGAAGTGTTAATGATAGGGTGCAAAAATCAGCAAAGGGAATAAAAGGGGATCATTTGAACATCCTTGGTAATTAAATGAAGTCAAGGGTAAACCCAAAAGATATAATCTTGATTTTTATCATACTAGTAGAGAATAATCATTGTTTTAGCAGTCAGTAAACACAGTGAGACTGTAATTTGTATTAAATATGCTAGAGAAATTTGTGTTTTTAACCTTGTGGTTGGTTTTCTTATTTAATGTGTTTAATTTTAAAAAGAGGCTGAATAGGCAGGAGATGATATTTGAGAAAGGCAAAAAACAACAAACACATCACTTTATTTGCCCCTGATCCTGGGTAATATCTCTAATCATCTCAGTTTATTCAGTGGTAAAAGTAATAATTATAGTAACCATATAAAAATACCTCAGAAGTGCTGGGCATTCAGACATCACAGCAGCCCTCTGAATTAGGTGACCTCTTTTCTCCTTTTCTTTGATCTCTTCATCTCCCTCCCTCTCCACCCATCTTACAGAAAGAAAGGATAACCAATTGCCAGAAGCCACACAGCTAGTAGGTAGCTAGGTGACTGGTAGGCATTCTGGCTCTAAGTCCATGTTTAGTTTCTTCTCTGCCTCCCTGCCCGCACCTCAATGCTATATAGCTTTTCTGTACTAATCTTGCTTATTTTTTAGGACAATTAAAAGATACATGATGTATGTAAAGGGTACCTTGCACATTCTAAGTGCACACTCATGGCTACCATTCCTTTTTCTCTTCTTCCTGTTTGTTATCCTCGTGTCATCTTCCTCCTCTTCCACTTTTCCTCCCACTTCCCTCCTCATGGTTTGTGTTTGACTTGTAACCATCCTTGGTTCTTGAAGATCGGATAACCAGAAGTCTTTTTCTCCTTTAGGATCCCTGTCTTATTTATCCTTTGAGCCCCTGGCAGTAGTACCCCCAGGACACGGTCTCGGTTCCTTGTCTATCAGACTTCGGATATTGACTATTGGACTCCCCCCACAGCTTTGGGGGTCATCATGATAGACTGGATCACTCTTCATTCTGACAGGAGGAATTCTACCCTGGCTTTTGTTGTCACTTATTCTGAGTATAATTACTTTGTACAGTTACAGCTTTTATTCTTGCATTACAAAGGGGGTAGATACTGTAAACTTTTACAATATTAATGGTATTTATTTTAGCATTTCAGATTGCCAAAAGACAAAACGGGCACCACAAGGATTGGTGACCTTGCACCCCAGGACATGAAGAAGGTTTGCCATTTAGCTCTAATTGAGCTGACTGCCCTCTATGATGTGTTGGGTATTGAATTGAAACAACAAAAAGCTGTGAAAGTCAAAACAAAAGGTAATCTTGAAATGAAAAACAGTTGGATTTACTTCTAAAGTAGCAAAGATGGACTTGGCCTTTTAGCAGTATTCTTGGGAGTGGGGGCCACCTACAAAATAAACCAACTCTTAAAAACATGTAAAGCTCTGATTCTGAAACATTGCCTTCAAAAATTTTGTAACTTGATAAAAAATACACTGTGTCCTAAACTATAGAAAACAGAGGTAAAATTAAGTAACTTAATATCCATAGAAGGAAATTCTGAATCAAGGAATCTTGACTGGTACTTTCTCCTTTGAAAACTATATACTTAAGAACATACATTTGGTACACATACTTACTTATTTCCAAAACTGGATCTTGAAAATTGACTTTTAAGATGGTTGGTCCAAAATGATTGCTTTTGCTTATTCATTGGACAGCAAATATATAAGGTAGTTAGTATCTCTGTTCTTTTGTTCATTTACATTTTATTTTTAACTATTTTGTAAAAACATTCTTTTCTTTATTAAGCAAATAATGTCATTGTGACACACTAGATAGCATTCATCATGGATATGTGTAGTTTTTCTTTTGTAAGCAGGTGCTCTACCCATTACATAAACAGAATTTGTTTTTTATAGTATGATAGAGAACAGACGCCTCCTCAATTTTTGTTTCTCCAAGATTTTATTGGTCTGGAAATCCAGATGATCCTCTATTGACAAAGCTTTACTGTTTAGGAATCTCTGTCCGCTTCTTTAACCTTAAAGGTATCTCCTATAGAGAAACGAAGAATGAGTGTTGAGTTGCTATGGTAACATTAGAAGAGACAAGTATTCACGTGATTTAAGTCTTAGAGGCAATTTCTCTGTAGGGCTGAAGTGTACCTTCCCTCAGGTCTTCTGTCATGCTGGGCCCCAGAAGACCTCATTCTGTGTTCAGTTCCTTTGAGCGTTTTAGCTTGAGGCCTGAAATGGTAAATTTTGAGTTAAATGGTGCTTCTAGTTTTCTGTAAGTCTTATGGATAATGAAGACTTCGGATACTTTTTTAGAAGCTCATCACAAAAGCTCCTTCAAATATAAAGTAGAAATATAATTTAAATAGCTGGGACTCAGTGCCCAAGATTTTTAAAGTGGCTTAAAGAGGGTTTTATTTTTTGTTATGTTTTAGAATTGCATCCTAGCAGAGAAATATTAAGTTGTTCTTACTAAGCCTACCACTATTAAAAGAGTAGAATTTTTTTTCCATCTTTTAAAAATATCTGTGCATCTTATCCAAGGTATTTTTCTTGGCATTCTTGAGGATTACATCTTCTCTTAATTCCCATACTGAAAAGTTATTTACTAGGTTACTGGCCTTCTTTTGAATGGCATCTCGATTAAGTGTCACAGTGTCCAATGTTTGTCCTCATACCACAAGGTAATTCCCTTTTTCATGTTCACAGATGATTTTTATTTCCCCTGATGATGTGTGTCATAAAGGAAAAAGTTATCACTTCTGTGGTAATTATCCTCTCAGTGATGGGGTGGGGTGGAGAAGCTGTGAAGAAGCCCTGCTCATACCAGACTCAAGGCATCTGATTTTAATTTAGAAAAATTAATACCTGTCATTTTTTCTGTAGCTGTTCCCAGATATATAGAACTACAAATTTAACTTTAAGAGTGCTAAGTATCTGCTATATTTTCTAAAGAAAAACATTTATAGAACAAGGTCATAACGTTGGCTGATTTCTCAAAAAGCAAGTTTTTATATTTTGCTGTATTGTAAAATGTTAAATGTCAATTTAGTGTGGAAAAGATGAGTGATTTTTTTTTAAGTCAGAACTTTTTATTTGATTACATGTAACAAATAATTTGAATATTTTGTGTGTTCTCACAGTACTCTGTATAGCAGTTTACACTTTTCCAATTATTTCAGTGATTATTTGTAATCATTTATTTAGTTTTCACTCTCTGCTAGATTGCTTTATAAGGCAGGGCCAGGATTTTCCTATTGGCCTGTGTATACCTAATGGCTAGATAGTGTCATTCACTTAATAGGTGCTCAATAAATAGTTGTCTGCTTGAATGACAATGTCAGAAATCTTATGTTTTAATTTTTGTATTAATATTTTATAAATTGATGGAAGTGAAGAATTTTGTTTTCTTGTTGCAGATTCTGGTCTTTTTTGTGTTCCACTGACAGTATTGTTAGAACAAGATCAGAAGAAAGTACCTGGAACTCGAATACCCTTGATCTTTCAAAAGGTAAGAAGACATGAACTGGTCAGCCTAGAGAGAACATACTTGAGCTAATAGTGGGCCTTTGCATTCATACTATTATAATGTAGTTTTCCAATTGATATGCTCTTTGATTTTGTACTTTGATTTTCTATTCAGGGAGCAAATTTGTTTCAAGGTCTCATCATTTTTATTTCATGGTGATGCTTTCTGTGTTATTACTGTAACTGTGATTACCTGGTGTCATTTTCCTGTCTTATTTTAGCTGGCTTTGTATAATTGAGATTTCAATTCTGTAATACATAGGATTGGGAACTGCTTATAAATTTCTAGGGAATTGAATCCTCATGAATATTTCATATCTGTATGTATTTCCCAGGCTTTCATATTTACAGTGAGGATGTCCAATTTAATTTACCAGTGCTTACTTTCAAAGTGGGCAAAGAAACCATAAAGTAGAATTAGAAAATGATTGCTAAACTATCAAGTCACTTGTGTAGTCAACGCCCATTATTCATCAGGGTATTATCTGTGGCAATATAAAAATTTCAGTCCAACCTCTGAGCCATGATTGTTCAGAAATACAGATTAGATCTGATAAAAGCTAGGGAATGCATACTATGTAAGGTAGGTCACATTAGTGTGGACTGTCCAAGCTACATATTCTTTGCAGCATCCTGGGCATATCATAGTTTCTGAAATTTCTGAGGACAGCAGAAATTGATTTGCATTTGATTAGCTCAACAAACTCACCCAATACTAAATCTCAATTTATTTGGCACTATTCTACTCTTATTCCAAACCAGTCATTTCCCTGCCTTATACACTAAGCTTTGGTGCCTTTATCCCTCATGTCTACCATTACATCCAAATTTGTATCTCATTTTTTGTCCTGGTGATCTGTGTTCTACACAGTTTATCCTGCTGATTGTCCTCTGCCAGCCACTGTTTGTAGAACCTGTATCTGTGTGGATAGTTGTCAATACTACCTGTGATTAACAGTAAAAGGCTAACAAATACAGGCTACATATTCAAATTCTTCAAATGTCAATAAAAGGTGTGAGTTACTATGTACAGATGGCTGTACTTAGCAGGGATCAGCAGCATCCTCTTCTGGTGTATTAGTCAAGGTTCTCCAGAGAAATAGAACCAATAAAAATATATGTAGAGAGAGATGGAGAGATTTATTTTAAGGAATTGGCTCACACAGTTGTAGGGGCTGGCCAGCAGGTCGGAAACTCAGATAAGAGTTGATGCTACAGTCTTAAGTCCAAAATCTGCAGGCTGGAAACTCAGGCAGGGTTCCTGTGTTGCAGTCTTGAGGCAGAATTGCTTTTTCTTTGGGAAACCCCAGTCTCTGCTTTTAGGCCTTCAACTGATTGAATGAAGCCCACCACATTACAAGAGTAATCTGCCTTATTCAAAGTCTACTAATTTAAATGTTAATTAAATCTTAAAAAAAAAAATACTGTCACTACTTCATCTAGACAGGTATTTGACTGAGCAACTGGACACTATTGCCTCACCAAGTTGACACAAAATTCACCACCACACTAGGGAAGTTTTGGTTCCTATGAAGTTTCAGTGGTGTCTCCTGACCAGGCTAAGAATTTTATCCAGTCCCTTAAGAAAAATCTCCCATGGTCATTTTCTCTTGAAATTGTTTTCTTATCTAGTAATTTCACATTTGGGGGCTCTTTAACATTCTGGAGACTCTGGCTACCTACCAGTTTGAAATTTTGAATAACAGCCCTCAAGATTTTTTTGTTCATATGAAAAATAAAGAGGAGTATAGCGTTTACTTGTAGATAGCATTCATCCATTTGCATCCCCTCTGAGTTAGAAGCAAAATCACAGTGTTCTATCATGCAAAATATTTTTGATTTATCGGCTGACAATTCAATTAGGTCTTCCCTTAATTTTGTCAGAAGGAAAGAATCAGAAACCACTTATTTGCAAAAAGATTCATTACTATTCTTTAGAGGATTACACTTCTATTTTTGAGGAAATAAACTCAAAAAGGGCACTAACAAAGCTTATCTAATATTTATGAATTGTATCTGTTATTTGTTTTTGCTCAGAGGCACATTGTGTAAATCATATTCTCAAAAAGGGTTGGGGAAATAGAAATATTGCTAATTTTAACCTATGGAAAAAGTCTACCTTTAACCTACTTAACAAATCCAGGGTTCTCACTGTCAGACTAATCAGCCAAATCAGACATACTTTGTGTCAAAAAAGTCTGATTTCATTTTCATTTCATTTTTCATTTCACATAAATATACAGTATGTATTTTGAGAAATGCTATGAAAATCACTGATAAGTTAGAGAACATGTTTTATAAAATAAATTACTAAAACAGCATAATTAAAATACATAGATTAATATAGTTATTCTCCATTTGTATTTTAAGTCTTGAAAATAAAAGGAAAGCTGTAAAGTATTCCTTATTTATGTTTTAATGTGGTAGCTAAAAATGTTATTTTCAGAGTAAGAAATATGGGAAAACACATGGCATTCTTTCAGACAGTATAGATATACATAAAGCTCTTGGACACTGGTATTCAGGTTTAGTGAATAATAAAAAGGACTCAAATATAAAAATACAGAAATTACTCTCACTCAGTTATTTAAAAGTTATAATCAATTTTTTTCTGTGTATTTAATGAAAGTGAAGGGTATATTCTGTTAAAAACTAATTTGCTCCAGCAGCAAATGTAATTTTATCTTTTGTTAATAGGACATGGAAGCATTTTAAACAATGAAATGAAAATTTGCTACACATTGAATAGTTGATAAATATGGTTTTAAATACTTTATTGAATAATGCCCATTTAATCTAAAATAATTTATATAGAATTTTTTGCTGTAGGTTTTTATCGAATGTAACTTGTGTAAATGTGGTCTTGGAAAATGTTCGCCTTGAATTTTTAAAAAAATCATGTACTGTTTTGACTGGTCAAAGATGCTTCTCTTTTCAGCTAATAATGAATCCTTAGGAGAATTTTAAGTGTACTCTTTGCAAAATTCTTACCTGACTTCCTTAATATCAGTGTGTTCTTTGGCCATAATCTAATCCAGGTATAGAAGAGGTGAGGTCATTAAAGAGAAATTGCCATGTCTTCCTTTGTCCACACACTACAATATATCTGGTTTCAGAACATCTAGACAAAGGTCAGAGGACCTAATTTATGATGTCATGCTTTGCTCCTGACAGACACTTTCATATGCAAGGGGAAAACAGTATAAGCTCTATGTAGATTATAGGGCCTTGGTTAATCATTAAAGGAGGCTTCCCTGAAAAAAAGTATTTTATTTACATTCTTTTGGCACTCTGGAAGATTTTATGCCTGAGGGCATTCAGAGGGTATTGTAGTGAGATTGCAGATGAGTGAAGGACAAGTCTGTCTTTAACTAGGAGAAGGCTATTGTGGAAATGGTGTGGGTGGTAGGAAGGAAAACCTATATGATGCAAGTAAATGTCTTTATTTAAACTGAAGACATGAAAATTGATTTTCTTAAAATAGCAGAATACCCTCTGTAAAGTCTTTGTGTGCTGCCAAGGGAATGCATATCCAATTGGAAGATCACTCTGCCAGGAAACTGACCATTCTTTTATCTTCTTTGCTTCCAACAGTTTGTCATTGTATTTTGCCCATTTGCCTTATTTTTGTGGGTTTCTGCCATATATATTTATACACATATAAAAATAACTTTATTGTAGTGGGGTTCTGGAGATAGATCTGTATGTATTCATTGGGCACTGAGTATGATTTAGAAGCCCCCTACTGGAATATTTTTCTTTACCACCATAGTCTTAAGAGTGAATATTTGCAAACAGTTTTTTTTTTCTTCATATCATAAATAATTCTTTCTTGGCACAAACTAAAAATGAAGTGTAAATGTGCAAACACTAGAATTTCATAAGATTGATTTGATTGCAGAATGTATGTTTCTAGATAAGCAGACGAAACGGATGTTCTTAGTTGCTTTTAAACAATGAACATCTTCATTCTCCATTTGTTTGGTGTTCCACAGCTGTTGTGTGAAATTATACACTTCTGTCACAAAGTAAAATAAGACCCAACTTTTCCTAAATTACCAGTAAAGTTTTTGGACTTACTGTTTTGAAGGATAGTGGTAGTACTATAGCATTCAAAACCTCATAAAATCTGCTTTGCATGTCAATTTTCATTTATTTGTATGTGAAACAGATGTTAAATTTGGAATTGTACCTGTTACAAATATCAAAATCGGAATGTTTTTCTTTCTATATACAGCTGATTTCTCGAATTGAAGAGGGAGGGTTGGGAACCGAAGGTCTCTTACGTATACCTGGAGCTGCCATCAGAATCAAGGTAAACCCTTGCTTCCGCTAATGTAAAACTTTATTGTTTAATTATACCTTTGCATTTTAAAAGCTAACTTGTCCTCCCCACCCCTTTCTCCCATTGTTAGTAAAGTGGAAAAAATAAAACAATAAAACCTCTTAACATTCAGCTTATATTTCATTTTTTTTTTACAGTCCCTTCTGTTTTTTCATAAGTTTTCATTTTTCAAAGTTACTATATTACCTATAAAAACACTATGATCAAGAGAACATGATGACTCAAGATATTATTAGGGAGCTGGTGATAGATTTAGTCAGGATGAGTAATAGCAACTGAGTTTCAAAAAAAAAAAAGGCAGGAACACAGACTCCAGGAAGCAAGCAGATTAGGGTCCCTGACACTAGTCCCCATACATTATTAGTCACAGTGACCTGGCAGATGACACAGTCTCAGCAGCCTTCCTGCTTCTCCTAGTTCCCTGTCTTACTGTATCCAGGGTAGCCCAAGTCTGGTGATTGCCAGACTTTCCAATTTGATCTCCCTTTCCCCCCTCGCCCTTTTTTCCTCTCTGGATGACATCTCCTTTCCACCATCCCAGGGCACGGTGTATCGTTCTGCTTTCGTCTTTGTGCCCAAATTTCTGCTGGGAAATAAAACTTCCAACGAATGCACAATAAAGATGGGAGTACCCTATAGTGATGCATACTATGTATGCTTCCCAAGGAATGTCCATTTTAAAGGGGACTTACATTTGAAATTATAGCTTTATCTGGAAAATTTATCCAGGAAAAGTTTTTGGTTAGCAGTTATTTCAATCTCTTTTACCCTGACCTTCTTCTATATCCAGCTTTAGCTCTAGACTGAGATAGCACAAGTAACTACCCACATTCAATATATTGTCTTCCTGAATTTGAAAATCCAAAAGAAAAAGGACAGGGAAGAGGTGGTCTCTGTTCATTTCCTTAAGACCTGTTCTATGGGAAATCTTTAGAGCTAGATCACGATGAGATGATTCTTGGTGGATGCATGTTGTCCTTGGCTGTGGTGCTGCCAGGACTGGAAATACTATTCACACATTCCACAGTTTGCATCACCTGATTATCCTGATAAGTTTCCTCCATTTAGGACACAAGTTTCGATGCTTGGCTCTTAATACATAGTGACCTCATTTTAATAGGATTCAAGTAACATGATATACTCTGCTCACAAATTTCAGCTTGTGTCCTTCGGGTTTGGTATCTGGTGTAAAGAGGTTGCTGAAACTGTTTTGGTGTGTCTGTAAGCTTGGTAACTTGCCATTGTCTCACTTCATTTACTAACACCGATGGCAAGTTCACCAGCAGTCCATCATGGGCATTGCATGCAATTCTAAGTTCTGTGAGAAGTATGTTCTCTTACAAAGAAATAATCCCTCAGAAGCAAGTAATGTGACTTCATATTACCCGTATCAGCAAGAATAGTGCTTCTCAACTGACTTTTCAGAGCCACCTCACAGGAGGGAAAACCACATTTACTTTAGTCCAGTGTAGTGACTATAATGTGGATTTTACTTGGAGATGGGAAGGCTGGCAGAAGGACAAGTTCAACTAAATGTAATTTCTAAGAAGGCCAATTAAGTGGATTCAGCTGGCTCAACTCTTCAACCCAGCCTGTCATCATATGCCAAATTATTCAGCAGCTGGTCTGTTATAAATAATTTAAAGAGAATATGCAAAAATTTGGGTGGCTTCTTTTCTCCCCTGCCCCACCAAATCTCTTGTTGTTATTCTCTCCCTCCTTCTATTCCTCCCCTCCTCTCCTCCTCTCTCCATCTTTCTCTGTTGCCCTCCCCTGCCCTCTCTCTCTCCCTCCCCATGTCCCCCTTATCAACTTCCCTCCCTTTATTTCTCTCCCTCCCTCCTTCCCTCTCTCTCTGCCTCTTTCCCCCCCCTCCCCATTTCTAGGTTCACCTTCATGTTTTTCACCAATTACAAAAATAATTGGGGTGGAGGAAGGGGTTGTGTTGGGAAGAGAAAATGTGATAAATTCATCTAACAAGAAAAATAAAGAATATTCTTTGGGAGAATGGTTTCAAATAATAAAAGGGAGTGACAAAAACTTGGAAGGATTTCTAGCTTGATAAGATTTATGCCACAGCAAAAAAGCATACAGAAAATAGAAACTAAATTAATTGATTAGTAATAATTTGCCTGGCAAATTTTGTAAAGTCCTTGAGATAAGTGAATTAGGTATTTCTAATTCTACGTGGACTCAAACTGTTCTCTGCAGCTGGCAGCAGGATGACTGTGTACCTAGGTGTATTGATGTATTTTCATGCCTCATTTGCTATAGAATTTGGTTTTTCATTTCCCAGAGGTGGCTAATCAGAGGTAGCCTTCTGCTTTGAGCCTGCAGATTGATTATGAATTTTATATAATATACTTCTAAATAATTTAAAACATAAACTTAGTTTTTCTTAATTTTTAAAAATGTAATGAAGAATTACAGTATCTAGGTGAAGCCCCCACATAGAAAGGCTATTTTAACCAATCTTTATATCTTTACTACTTAAGGCATGTTGCGTGTACAGGAAAATGTGTAAATTTAAAAAAAAAATGGCTCTGGGTACAATTTTTTATTGGTAAAGTACAACCAGGGTGGGGGGAGCAGTATTTTTTAAGACTTTTGGTACTTTGATAACGTCTTTTCTAAAGAGTAGAATCTCTTGTTAAGTGAAAAATGTATCACACCCTGAGCAGGAAAAGAATGCACTTACTGATAGCTGGGTTTTTTCCCCCCTTGTGGCTTTCAGAATCTTTGCCAAGAACTAGAAGCAAAATTTTATGAAGGGACTTTTAATTGGGAAAGTGTCAAACAGCATGACGCGGCCAGCCTGCTGAAGCTCTTCATCCGGGAGCTGCCCCAGCCACTGCTCAGCGTAGAGTATCTCAAAGCTTTTCAGGCTGTCCAGAGTAAGTATCATCTCCCTTTGATGCAGTCCCTATGCTGGTGTCATCCATATTAATTGTTTTAATGACACTTGGCATCTCAAAGAAGATAACCAATTGTATTCGAATAGATATATTGACTCATTGATGTCAGTAGGTGCTCAAATGCCATACATTGTTTTCTTTTTCTTTTATTAATATACATCTCTGAATAAATAACAGAATGTTCTCTTTGGGTAATGATTAATTGCATGGCATTTAAGCAATACATTTCAATGCTAAAACCTGGAAACTTCACGTTTCTCTTATAATAGAATGAGTCATGTAAGATCTCTGATACATTTTTCTTGCCAAGTGTTAAAAGCAACACTTACTGGAGAAGCTGTGGATTAACAGTTATCATAAAAGCACAAGGAGATGCAGTAGAGTCTGTGAGCATTTCTGCAAAAATTAAATTCTGAAGTTGTCATGCAGAAACATGGAACAAGGCATTTTGCAGCCTCATTGGTGGAGGTCCACAAACTACTTTTCATGTCTTATCACTTTGTGGTCCTGGGCCAGGTCCAACTTAAGGTCTCTAATAGTTCTTGATTCCTTTCCCAATGAACAGAGATCTTATCAAGTTTATGTACTGGTATAATTATTCCTTTTACTCCTGGAGGCTATTACAAAAGGGAAAAATGCCATCACCACATTCAAGTGACCATATACTTAATTTCCACACTGGAAATTAAGAGTGGAAGAGGGGCACTGTTTACAATTGCGGTGAGCTACAGTGTCAACCAGAACTGTTCCAGGCTATTCTTATAGCATGCAATATTGAGATGATTTCATGAGTCATCTCATATCATAACATTTCTTCAGAATTTCTAGGAGAGATATGACTGAAATCACCGTCTGTGTGAAGTATGTTTTCTTAACAGATTTCTTGTTTAAACAAAAGAGATCATCTTCTGTTTAAAATATTTTGTAATAGTTAAATTGTGCTATTTTGTGTACATTTCCTGAAAATATAGTATCAATGATAATAATGCACCTCTTAGACTTTTTAATTGCTGCTTGGTTTTTTTTTGTTTTTTGGTTTGATTTTTGGTTTTTTGGCAGCTGGCCATTTGGGGGATCTGAACATTGGTATTATAACACTGTTCTTTAAGTTGCTTGGTTTTCTAATTCATTCTGCAAACATTTATTGAACACCTATTGTGTTCCAGGCCCTGTTTTGCATTATTCATGTTGGAAGTAATGGATTCTTACCATGCGTTTATTCACTCCCCATTAAAAGAAACAAACTTCACTCTTATAGATGCACCCTGATCCCATATCATGGAAGGTCCAATCTTCTTTTTAGTGGGGAATAATTATCATGTGGAAGTTAAAATTTTTTCCAAAGCTCTGTGGCGTGTCTGCAAACATAAGGCCGCTTGTCATATGATCGCAGTTGGAAGTGAGCATTCTGAGAGAGGAAGCTCTGAACAGCAGCTGCTTTTGCTGATCTCCCACAAACACACTCTCAACAAGGCTTACTGCTCAGGCGTCGTGCCTTACATTTCACAGTAATGTTTATGCCAAATAACTTTTTTTTCTTAAAAAATGGAAAAAGAAAGGAAAGGAAAATGTGCAGTAAAGAAAAGCATTCAGATTTATTTAATCTATTTGCAGATCTTCCAACTAAGAAACAACAACTACAGGCTTTGAACCTTCTTGTTATACTCCTACCTGATGCAAACCGGGACACACTGAAGGTCAGCTGGGTTCATTTACATTAAATATCATTTAGAACTGAATGGAGTAATTTTTCATTATTTGTGGCAAAACAATGTGATGTTTATTTTGGAAATGTTAATAAAAGTCTATAAAGAAAAGGCCTACTTTTAAGGACAGATGTTGAAAAAAAGCCTTTACCTCAATTTATTTATTAGGTTGGTTATTTTATTAATATTATTAGGTTTTGGTTTTTTTGTTTCTTAATTTTCACTGTAACATTTTTTTCTACCAAAGCAAGTGATTGATGTTCGTTGGTTAATGGAAATGTGGGTGCTTTTTGTTTTTTTCTTCTATTTTTCTGTGTTTTAAAAAAATTTTTAAGGAACATGTTTTAATAAGGTGAAAAATAAACATTTAATATGAAAATCCTAGTGCTCATTAAATATGATCTACCATTGCCTAAAGATGTTACGGTTGTTTGTAGTTCCAAGTGGTAGAGTTCAAAATGTCATAGTGATGATATGAAACGTTCATTAGTCAAAAGATAAACCAACTCAAACAATACTGGTTATTTCTCTAAGAGCTTAGCCTGAATTCTGATTTGTAACATCATTTCAAAGTGATTTGGTCTAATATTCACATGATTTAATACTGTTTATTATAAGGCTCTTATAATCAGTGGATTGTTCCACACTATTTTCATTTTCATTAATGGCAGAAGTTTATAGAGTAGTTGTAGGAGGTTTAATTATAAACTTTTATAAAGGAAAAAGGGAAAAAATTAAATATAATTTAGGAAGAGTATTTACCTCAATCTTTGCCATTGTCTTAATTTTTTTTTTTTTTCCTGTATAGGTAGGGTAGGACCCTTGCCTCTTTACCCCTTATATTTCTTTCTATTTAAAATGAAATCTCATGTCAAGAAATTTCATGTCAAGAAAACAAAACCCCTAGTCAGCTAATCTTGGAAATTTTTTTCTGTAGCTCATTAAAACTCCTTGAACTATAACTACATGAATAATAGTTCCTTAATGCCCATGGAATGAATGTATATACTGAACTTGTTGAGATGAAGCAACTTATGAGGATTACTGGAGGCGAAACAGTACAACTGCTGTAGGAGAACTTCCAAAGAGTTATTCCTTTACTAAGTAAAAAAGAAAAAAAAAATCTTTGCTTCACTGATTGTCAAATGAATAACTCAGAAGGCCCCATTAGGTTTTGTTTTTGAGACAGATACCAACTTCAGAAAGGGTTGGTTACATTTAAACATTGTGTGACCAGGGTTTCTGTGTAAGGGTCATAGACTGTGGCTGAAACAAGGACATATGGCCTGGGACAAAGTGGGGCTGATTTCCAGCCTGTCCTCTGCTTGCCAGCCGTGTCCTTGACACAAAGCTTCTGCTTCCCAGAAAGAGAAAGGATTATCTTTATTTTATTCACGTGAAGGTGCCTGTTTGCATGACAGCCTGTGAATGAGTGGTATAAGGTGGGAATTTTACATGATTTACTTAAAATATACCTACATTCAAAAGAGTTCAGAGAGTTGAAGGAAGGAACTCTTATTGCAATATGGTTGCTTGGCAAGGCTGGTCTAAGAACTTTTCTTTGCACTTTGCCTTCAAAGTCCCAGGCATGTTCTTTCATAAGTTCTGATTAAAAATTATTTTAAAATTTTTAGGGTATTTTTTTTTGCGGGGGGTAGAATTTTTTGCATATGAGATTATTAGAAGCATAATTTTATTTTTTTATTTTTTGGCAGCTGGTGAGTACAGGGATTGAACCCTGGACCTTGGCATTATCAGCACCATGATCTAACCAATTGAGCTAACCATAGAAGCATAATTTTATAATTAAGGGGGGAAATCGTGTTTTTCTTGGTCAAAAACTGGGAGATGCAAACAAGTAATTTTACTTATTTACTTAAGATTTGGTGACTTAACTAGCCAGCCCTGAAGGTTTCAAACAAGAACTCTAATAATAGAAACATTGTAACAAGTATGCCATATGTGCAAGAGATTAAACCATAAATTCAGTTCTGTAAAAGAAGGGAAACTCCATCACAATATAATTTCAGGAAGCCTAGCACAGAGTTCTCCAATTAATCCAGTGCTAGCACCACTTCTTCAGTTGTCATTTGGAGGGGCCGAATCATGTATATGACTTGGGTAAAATGTTTCTACAGCAAGCCTAAGGATTAGGAGGAATTGTATTAAACACCACGTCCTGGCATAACATGAATTGATGGCTGTCTTTGGGCAAACTGCTTAATCAGAACTACCTTTTATTTTGGATTATTGTGCATTTGGACAAGTGATCATACCTACTTTTGACTCGGAGGAATAGCAAAGACTCATTTTAAGATATCAAGAGGGGTATCCATGTTACCGTAATTATTGACACTTATCCTTCTTGTAGTTTTAATCAGTTCATTATATATATATATATTACCACAGTCCTTGCAAGCTAGGAGATTAGTATTCTCATTTTACAAATGAGAAAACTTTAAAGAGCAGAGTTGCAAAAAGATCTACCCTAAGTTCACACGTAGCTAATAAGTAACCAACTGTGCTGGGACTCAAACCTGGGTTCTCCGAGCGTGAGTCCAGTGATGCTTCTACAACACCTGGCTGGGGATAAAGTGAATACTTTTTTAAAATGGGGCAGTTCTTACAGTTCAGATGAAGAGAAAATACTGCAGTTCTTTCAGCAAGGGCTAGGCTAACATCTTACTGATTTCATATCTATTCTCTCTCTTTCTCTCCTTCTCTCTCTTTCTCTCTCTCTCTCCCCATCTCTCCCTCTCTTCCCCTCGCTCCCCCTCCCCTTCTCTCCCCCCAACCCATATTGTGATCGTAATATTTTTGAATAACCTTGTATTGCATATACACACCACAATTAAAATGGTTTATTTTCTAATCTCTGTAATTTATGCTGAAAAAGAAAGAGATACACTGGTCCCTGAACAGTTATTCTGATCTCTATGGAACAAAATTAAATATTGTTTTCATACTTCACCAATTAATCTTTTGTCCTCATTTAAGAATGTGTTGTTTCTATATAAGCTTATGCTTGGATTACAATTTAACTTTCTGAGCACTGTACCAGAAATTAGATACATAAATCTCGTTTTTAGATATTAAGCCTCTGTCTTTTTCGTTTGTTTCAAGTTTTCTTGGTCTATCTAGCAGCTAAACTTGATTCAAGATCAACCTGTCAGCACTGAGAGGAATTTTTTCCCCCTGAAATCCTGTGAAAGATAGACACACAGGTTTTTTGGTTTGTTTTTGTTTTCTTTTGGTATGGTATATTAGGCCTTTTTCAGGGAGGGATTTTAGGCTAAATGTAAAAACATGATTCTTTTAGTTCAGAAACAAAAAACAGATACAAAACTGCAATTAAATTCCTTCTCCACCATTTGTTAGCTCTGTGTCCTCCAGTAAGTTACTTACATTTCTCTAAAACATTGTTTTCTCATCTGTAAAATGGGTATAATTACAGCAGAAAGGATTGAAATCTTTTCTAATAATGTGCTTAATACACTGCCTTACCCAGAGAGAATATTGAATACCTGTGTAGTGATAATTATTGTAGACCAAATTAAGTAAGAAGGCAAAAGAAAAACTTGAAACCTTAAACGCTATCAGAGTAGGGGGACCTAAGCTGCCTGTGGCTTTTGTAGAAGAGAGGCTCAGAGGATGAGTGTCTGTAGTAGAGGTGGCATCAGCTGGGCACAATCTAGCCTGTTCTGGTGAAAAGTTCCTTCTCATTCATTCCTTCATTCATTTTTTAAAAACTCTCCTCTCTTTGGTCTCTTCTCATTCTTCCTCCATCTCCATCACAATCTTCGTTCTTTTTAGGTTCCTTGTCAGCCAGCTGTTGAGTGCCCTCAAGCAAATGAAACTGAAGTTGAATGAGCCTTTTTAAGCAATTTTCCCCCCTAATCCCTAGAGATAAAGTAGAGCACGTCCTGCAACAAGTGAATGTTTGCATATTTTAAACTACTTTTCAACGCTCCATGGCACCTTCAGGCTAGAGGTCTGACGCTTCTCTGATCCTCTCCTTGCTCCCTCATTCTAGATGACCTCTGCCTCATTCCCCAGTGCCATGGTCCTAAGTAGATGCAAAGCATCCTCTCAGAGTGTGCCAACCAAATGGAGAAACTTCGATGACAAAGCCTGTTGGATGTGGCTAGCTGACTGTGGCTATGCACAACTTATTTTTTGAATGAAATAAAAATCCTGTATGCTACCATGCTTTAATCTCTTATCTTCATGGACGACACAAATCTCAAAGAGTTATTTCTGTTTCAGGCCTTGCTTGAATTTCTCCAGAGAGTAATAGATAATAAGGAGAAAAATAAAATGACAGTCATGAATGTCGCAATGGTCATGGCCCCGAATCTCTTTATGTGTCATACACTGGGTTTGAAGTCCGGCGAACAGCGAGAATTTGTAATGGCAGCTGGGACAGCAAATATCATGCATTTACTGATTAAGTATCAAAAACTTCTGTGGACCGTACGTATATATTTTTAAGCTTTGTTAATGACTGTCTAATTTCCTAGCATCATTGTTTATGGTGATTTTGAACATAATTTTATAAAGCCAATATAAAAAATGTAATATACTTTTCTCTTAATGGTTTAAAAAACACCCACATTGTATTTTTGTTACCAGCTGTATAAAATTACATTTAAAATTTGTGACTGCAGAAAATATTAAAGGTGTTTTATTCACATAGGTAAGAGGGCCCTGTGAATTTCTGTTTCAAAATCATGAAATTATCTTAAAATATGCCTTGTAAGAAGTACTTTTTACTTATTTACTTCCATCCATTTTCCCTCTTTTCAACATTTAGGCCTGTTGTCTTTTTTAAAGCTCCTGCTGTCTTGACTTCAGATTATTCCCACTTATTTTTCATGACCCTTTAGTTAAAGGGATACATACATTTTGCACCCTGATTACTGAGAGTGTCTTGAAACTGGTTTCTTCTGTTTTATCCTTATTTTGAGCTTGAGTTTTGACAGATAATCAGAACATGGTGGTGGATGAGAGGTTTAGTTGATTAAGGTCTCATTTTTCCAGTCAATTTTATAATTGTCAAGAAAGCATTGTATAGGCATTTAGAAAAATGAACTAAAGAAATTCCAGGCACAACTGTAATATCGAATATTTCAGTCTGACTTATTTTGAGGAACCCTCAAACATTAATCTGTTAAAAAGACAGAGTGATGATATCTAGATCCTGACGTCTTTTTAAATTTTTTATTTTGGGGGGGGGTGGGAGGAGGTGCTGGCTGGTATGAGGATCCAAACCCTTGACCTTGGTTGTTTCTTTTTTAATTTTTATAATCTATGAAAAGGCAACTGATATAGGTGATTTCAAATGTTTTTTTAAATATTAATATCCATTTATTAAACCTCAATTTTTAAAATGCCAACATTATTTCATGGTTACATTTCTGTAACTTAAAATGTTTTGTTTTTGCTAATGTGATTTCTGAGGATAAATTTCTCCTGGATTATTGCTAACTACTTGTCAGCTCTAGTTTTTTGGTGTTTTTCCTTCTCTTGCGACAGTGGAGGCTGGGTGGTTATTAGAAGGGGACGAGGACTGTAGATTAGCCAGAGGGGTGATAGATGGGAGGCCGCTAAAGGAAAGAACTGTGAGGTGGTGGTCTCTACTGGCAATCAACTCAGGGAGTCTGCAGTCTTCACATCCATGGAAGATGGCCACAATGTCCTTGAACTTCATAAAGTCTCTTTCAGAACCTTAATCAATGGGTAGTAAATTACATCATGTGGATGCTCTGTACACCTGGTGAATGGGTACTATGATGCATTTTCTTTTCCCAGATTTAATGAATAGTGCATGTAAAATGGCACAGTCTTATCAAATAGACAAAACCTTTACTCTTCTCTCAATCTAAGAAATAAAGATAATTATTTCTGTAGTTTAAAATGGTGCCATTTCTGTTTTTCTACTCAAATTTAATTTCTTTTTTCTGTAGATTCCCAAGTTTATTGTAAACCAAGTGAGGAAGCAAAACACTGAAAATCATAAAAAAGATAAAAAAGCCATGAAGAAATTGCTGAAGAAAATGGCTTATGACCGAGAAAAACATGAAAAGCAAGATAAGAATACAAATGATGTAAGAGAATCTTTAAAAATATGTATTTATTCATATTTCAGTATTTTTATACCAAAAAAATTTTTTTGTGTGTGTTTTCATAGCATGACTTTCTACCATGTACTAGGAGGTGGTACTGATTTTAAGTTAAAGGCATCAATAACAATAACTATATCCTACTATATTAACCTGATCAGTATTGACAGTTGGTCAGGTGTTGGTGACTCAGCAAGTTAGTTCTTAATGGTGAACAAAGGCAGAGAACAGGAGAGAATATGCGCGTGCGCACATGCAAGCACACCCCTCCTGCAGAGACTCTAGTTGCCCACTGAATGTATAATGCATACTGAATAAAGAATCCTCTGTGTGAACCACTGATCATTTTTTCTTAAATATTCTCATCTGTAAAATGGGAAAAAATAAATAATCCAGATAGACAAGTAAGCCAATGTCCGTGTGGTGCCTAGGATCAATCCTGGACTTTAAATATGTATTTGAAGGTTCTTAATTTGACCAGAAGAATTATTTTGGGTGAGTTCTGTTGCACAGAAGAAAATTAAGATGTTTCAAAAAAGAAATGTCTAAATATCAGTATTTACAAGCTACTGTAAGAATATATTAAGAACTGGGTTTACAATAATGAAATGTACATGAAAATACATTTATGGAGTTATCAAGCTCTAGCGTAAGATCATGAAATGAGAGGGTTTCTATTGTTCTATTTAAGTGAATACACCAGCCCCCAACACCACCACCATTGAGGTTGTTCAGTTACATGCTGACATCTTGTGGAATAATGTGAAAATGCGATTATCAGCCTTTGTCTGCTTTGTCCTGCTTTTAGGAATCCAGTAGCTTTACATTTTTTTTTTCTCCTGAATATAGCTCTCACTTTAAAAAAATAATGCTTTCTTGGCATAGTAAATTTTTTAAATCAATCTTTGAGTATTTAAGAAAACCCATTACATTTAATAAAGGGAAATTGTAAATAATATTTATATTTTTTGAGAAAGGACTCGATATTATCCTAAGACTAGAAAGAATTTTTGAGATATCATTTTTGTTTAACTTTAGAATGTTCTATTACCTCTAACACCATTGTAAATATGTGAATATATTGTTTTGTAGCTCTGTTTATGCATTATTATTATTATTTTTTTTTTTGTCCTTTTTGAGACCAGCCGCACCGAGCTCAGCCAGTGAGTGCTGTGAGCGCACCGGTCATCCCTATATAGGATCCGAACCCGCGGCGGGAGCGCTGCTGCGCTCCCAGTGCCGCCCTGTGCTGAGTGCAACAGGGGCTCGGCCCTGTTTATGCATTATTATTATTATTTTTTTTTTTGTCCTTTTTGAGCCCAGCCGCACCGAGCTCAGCCAGTGAGTGCTGTGAGCGCACCGGTCATCCCTATATAGGATCCGAACCCGCGGCGGGAGCGCTGCTGCGCTCCCAGTGCCGCTGCGCTCCCAGTGCCGCACTCTCCTGAGTGCACCAGGGGCTCGGCCCTGTTTATGCATTATTAACTTAAGTGACATTATAGTCTTGTCTTTTTTAAGGCAGTTATACCATGATACTCTGAGGCTTAATATCAACTTAAGGATGCATTTGTGATGTATCTTTTTAATACTAAATCCTTAGACAAAAATTAAAAGGTTACTTTTTGGAGATAGAATATATAAGTAATTTTGTCATTTTATAGAAAAACAGCATTACTTTGGATTTCTTAAGTTTGCATTTTGGGTTAATTACACATGAGCTGGTCTGAGAATTATTAATCCACTATTTAAAAGCTGTATTGTCATTTTAAGGCTTGGGATTTAAATCTCAGTTTTATCATGCGTTAGCTATAACTTCACTTCTCTGAGTTTTGGTTTTCTCTTCTGTGAAATCAGTTATTTAACAAAGTGCCATCTCCTCAGTGCCACGCTCCCATTCCATGTTAGGTACTTGAAGGAAGCTGGAGCTGACTGGTGACCTTCAGGGAGCTAGGAGAGGGATGTAGAAGGAATGTAACTCAGAGGTGCTAGAGGGATGTGACTGAAGCCTGACCCGGGTACCATGGGCTACGAAACCGAAAGTAGACATCAGAGAGACTTTCTTGAGGAGCCAAGCTGAGATGTTTTTCAGGCATCACTAGAAGAGAGAGATCTAAAATAACCTGCAGTGGAAACTTCCTGGCATGGCAGCCCACGATGGAGGTCTGTTTGGCCTGGCATTTTGGTTGAAGATTTTTAATCAGTTTCCAGAATTTTCTTTTCAAGTGGGTGTCATTTTATTAGGAAGAATAAATATACACAGAAAACAATTACAGAACAACAAACAGAAGTCCAAGATAAGTTCAAATACTGGCAATATGTGATAAGTCACTGATAATCAGAGATTTTTAAAAAGTTCTTTTAATTTTAATTTTATTTATTTATGTTTTTTTGCATAAGATTCTATTGACAGAATTTTAAAACTCAAAGGTTTAAGTTTGGGCTGCCATCTTAATGACAAATTGGATGTAGGGGCATCTGACATCCCCTGGCAGGAGGGGGCCTGCTTTCCAGCAGGGTAACAATTGCCTGAATCTGAGTAGCAGCTGTTCCTTTTGGATGGAACATAGGCCACCCACTTTGCTGTAAGCCATCCCCCCTCCCTCATTCTGTTTTGTTGATTTACTTTCTAGACTCTCCCCTCAAACCATTTGAATATGCAACACAAAACTGTAGGGCATGAAATTGCCTGGGGTCTTTTATCCATTTGTCAAACAGTGTTCCTACTATGTGCCAGGCATTTAGGCACCTGAAATACATTACTGAACAAAACAGATACAGAATTCTGCTGTTATAGAACTTTAAGTTTTAAACTTAATAAGTAAATTACATACTGTGTTAGTATGTGGTCAGTGCTCTAAAAAATAATAAAATCAAAATGGAAAAAAGGGGAATTTGGAGGGGAAGGCTCTTGCAGTATTAAGTTGAGTAGTCTGGGTGTTATTCATTGGGACAAAGACAGGAAGGAGGGCACGGAGATGAGCTGTGTATGTATCTCAGGAAGTTCATTCCAAGCAGAGGGAATAGTCTGTGCGAAAGCCTTAAAGGCAAGGGTTAAGGTGTTTGAGAACTAGCAAGGAGTGAATATGGCTGGAGTGAAGCCAGCAAGCATGATGGTATGAAATGAGGTCAGAGGGGCAATACACTAGATTACATAGGGCCTTGTAGACCATTTTTAGAAATTTAGATTTACCCTGAGTGAAATAGGGTCGTTGCAGTGTTTTGAGCAAAGGCTTGAAAATCTTATACTATGTTTTAAAATAATCCTTTGGGCTGTTGTGTTGAGAATAGACCGTAGGGGAACAAAGATAGAAATGGGGAGGCTATTTTTGAGGTTTTAAAATCAAGGTGAGAGATGATTGTGGCTCAGACCCAGGGTATCAGCATCAGAAGTGGGGAAGTGGTTAGATTCTGGATATTTTTTTTTTTGTAAGTTAGAGCTATTGGAATTTCTTGATGGAAATTATATGAGATGTAAAGGAAGAAGGAAGTCAAATATGACTCTTGAAGGGTTTTGGCCTGAGAAATTGGAAGGATGGAATTGACAGGGAAGATCACAATTTCAATTTGGGGCCTGTTGAGTGTGGGGTGTCTATTAGACATCTAAGTGGGGATGTTTGGAGGGAAAATCGGGTCATATTGTCTGGCCAGGGTGGTGCATAGAGAAGCAGGGTCAGAGGGAAAGCAGGGACAGGGCTCAAGGGGAACGTATACTTCTGCTTCTATTCTGTATACTGCAGGAAACTGCTGAAAGGTTGTGGCCCCAGGAGTTATGTGATTATATTTGTATTTTAGAGCAGTCACTTTATTGTAGGTAAAGGAAAAATTGGAGGTGTGTAAGATAGGTTAGGTAGGAGATGCTGGGTAATTTCATTGTAGATGGAAGTATTGCACATAAATTGGGTAGAGTCTTTTCAGAGTGAAGTTGGCATGTGGCAAAGGCCTGAAAACCATGCTTCTCATTGGACTTAAAAATTCCTCCAAATGGAATACTACAACTAGCATGCAAATATTTATGGTTAAGTTCATTGCCATTTTTTAATACTGGCCAAAATTAGAAATAATCCAAAAGAGTAGAGGTGACTAATTAAATACGTTACAGCATATAAATATAATGAAATACTATGAAAATACACACCTGTGTATATTGGCATTGAAAGATATTCGTGATATGTTACTATGTGAAAAAAGGAAGTTACAAGTCAGTGAATAGTATCTTGCTGTTTTTGAGAGGGGTAATAATAGCTATGATTGTTTCGAATGCTTACCAGAGGTCAGGCATGATGCTAGACATTTTACATACATTATCTCATTTAATATTCATGGTAGTCTCGATAGAGTGCTTTATTGTCTAATTTTTTTTTTTTTTTTCATTTGAGGAAAGTGAGGATCAGAAACTTAAGCAACTTACTTAAGATTAGATAAGAAGTGGTGGAGCTGGAGTTTGAAACTAAATTTATATGACTTTAAATCCATGGATTCTTTACCATGATCCTTGATTCCCCCCAAAATCGCAGAAAGACTCTAAGAAGGATATATAACAACCGTGGCCTGATGGGTGTAGTACAATGAACATGGGTTTCTGATGTTATAAAATATATAACTTTTAGAACAGTTCTGGGCTGTAGCCAAGGCCCAGGGGTGGGAAGGGAAAGAAGGTTGGAGTGTGAGCCAGTGGGACCCACAGGATATGGCCACTGGCTGGATGTGAGAAGCGTGGAAGAAGAAAGAATCTAGAACGACTCGTCAAGTTTTGCCTGGGGTGATTTTATTGTCAAGATAAAGCATCAAGCAAAAGGAACACACTTGAAAGAGAAGAGAGTGTTTTTGATGTTTCAAGTTGATATTCCAGTGGGAGAACTGGCTACGTGGGCCTGGGACTCAGGAGCATCCAGGGCTGGAGGCATGTCTTTGAGATTGGCATAGAGATTGTGGTCGAAGCCACAGAGCACTTCGTGTTATTCAAGGTGGATATATGGGGAAAGAAA